GAAAGAGCTAAGGGAGCACATTGAATAACAGCAACTTAATTCACATTTTTATTGCATAGATTCAGATAAACTGGACTTAAGTGTTGTCCAAAGTATTCTGTGGGCAATTAATATTGTGGGTTATTTTCCTGTCATTAAATCTTGGATAATTGTGAGACATCCAAGAGGGCAGGGAAAAAGAATGCGCCAATAATTAAAAGGCTCACAGGGAGACCCACATAATTATAGGTCTGTCTGTGATGCAAATAATGGAACAGTTAACGCAGAACGAAAGAGGGTGGTGGCTGCTGCTGGTCCAGCATAGGCTTATGGAATATAGCTTTGTACAGTTGCTGGTTTTGAGACGATGGTGTCTGGTAAGTGGTTGATCTGTGCTTCTTATTTAGGTTCAAAATGTGGCACAGTATCAGCAAATGAACAATATAGATATAATAGGGCATTGTATGTGAGTTGAGGATTATACACTGTCAGGTCTCGGAGTGTGATTGTAAATGGGTGATTCATTGCTGAGTCCAGTTTGTGTAGTTTATCTCTGATCCTGTGCTACCTCCCATGACTGGTGGTCTGGAATAAACCCTAAAACTGATATTGATGCAGATGACCCATGATGGGGAGTGTTAAATAATTAAAAGGACTCGTTAATAGTATGTGATCTGAGTGGTTTGGTAAACTGAATGCAAATAACCATGCAGTCTTCATGTAACTAAACACAAAGTTAAATGTTTAGGAACAAATTGTATAGGCTATTTTTGTAGACTACATCAACTGATGATCATTGGTAGTATTGGCACTGTAAAGAGCACTGTCTCAGTGGGTAGTCAATTGAACATAAGCCCCCAGTAACATATGGTCAAAAAGGCTAACGTAGCTGTTGGATGTATAGTGGAGTTACTGGAAGTCTGATATCAGCAGTTCAGGGAAGATTTTGATTAGAGGGGATTCTGAAGACCTAGAAGTTGCTAAATATCTTCTGAGATGGGGAAAACTCAGAGGTTAAATAGTGATGTCTTGATCAGTCTCTGAAGATCCTTGCAGAAACTGCATTATTATGATGAGCTTTAGTCAGTAGGCAAATTTGTAATGAAGTGTAGTAGCTGGAAGCTGAAGCTAGGTAAATCCAGTCCAGAGAAATAGTGCATATGTCTTACCATGTGATGGCTGTTGTGGATTATCTATTTTGGGGAATTGTTTAAATAAAAAGCTGTGCAGCTTTCTGAAAAGATTATTTGATGCAGATAGGAGTTAACTCAAGGAAGTCTGTCGCCTGTGCCTTTCAGAAAGGCTGCTGTTGATCACTTTGTACAACCCGAATTCAAAGCTCACACATTAGAAGGTATGAAATCTGTGCCTCTAAAATATTGCAGCTGAGTTGGATATATTTCTAGCAAAAACCAATTTGTGTTACCAATAAAATGCTGAACAGCCAGTGTTTTATGGAAGCTTTTAACGTATCTCACGGGGATATAGTATTTAAGCTAACATCTGATTTTCCCCGCTCCCTCAGTTAATGTAGATCCATTTTGGAAAGCTTTGAGAATGAAAATCCAACTAATAGTTTGAGGTCACAATAGAATAAGGAGTAAATTAAGGAGAAATATTTTGTTACCTTGTTCCTTTGAGATACTTGATTACTTCAGAGAATCAAATTATTGGAAAATAGTGTACTTTATTCAAAAGCTTAAACAAAATAATTGGAATTTGGGTGGCTGAATATAGACATATTGCTATAATTTCTGACTTAATTGACACTTTTTCTCCAGCCAAGTGAAAGTCTGTGTGAAAAATGCAGTGTGAGGGGGGGAAAAATGCTTTTGGAGACATAAGTTTTAATGGTATGACTTGTTAAAAGGTTTGAGTACTGCAGTCTTATTTGTCTTGCACTTTCAAAATATGCCTTGTTATCATGAGGAAAAAAAAATACTTCAGGGTTGAAAAGTGTAATGGTGAAATAAGAACTTTATAATAAATCTCAACAAGGGAGTAATATTTAAGATAGATGCTTAGCTTGTCACTTGGTGCTTTGGAGTGTTTAATCCTTCAGCCTCAACATTCTTAAAATAGCTTAGATAATTTTCTAAACTCACAGAAAACATAATCTAGGACTGTGAGCCGTCCTTCTGTGTGTAAGGCGTATGTGGCAGCAAGGATAGCCACAGGACTCTGCTCCCTTCCCTGTGCCGTCTGTTTGGGGCAAAGGACATGTGGCAAAACTGAGCAGGTGTACATATTAAACCGTTACACAGGTTAGCATTATATCTTTTTTTTCTGTACAGGTTTTTAAACTTCTGGCAAGTTGTATTGTTGTTTTCTCTCCTCCTTTTTCTTACTTGTTCTGAGATGGGTAATGTAAGGAAAAACTCAGAAGGGAGAGATTCAGAAAATAAGGACCAAAAATATAATGTAAATGACCCGAGTATAAATCCAAAGAGCCTGACAGGATAAAATTATATGGTGTTAAAGCTGACTGTAACTAATAATACAAACAATTTACAAAAATCTTTGAGATACTTTTTATTTAAGTACCCAAATAAGATGGAAGGAAACTTTAAGGAATCAAATGTTGACTAAACAGTGGCTAAGGTTCAAGCAAATGGTCTCTGAATTCATATTTTCATTATTAGGTATTGCTGTTTTGTATTTGTTGTGTAATTTTTCATTGGTTATTAGCTTCCTACATGTAATTTCTCTGTAGTGCTGCAGTTTCTGTTGTTGTTGGAAGACTTTAATTCTAATTCTGTTGTACTAAGTGCTTTCTCTGGAGTTGTGGTGAAAAATCTGTGGCTTACGTTTGCCTCTTCCTTAAGATTTGTCCTGGATTTAATTTTCTATATCTGCTTCTATTTTAGTCCTATTTGATAGTTCCTTGTTTATTCATTCTATTTAGATACTATTAGATTCAGTCCTGCCTGCCGTACTGCATTCATGAACAAAATCTGTCTGTGCTGTGTTTCTGTTGCCATGACTCTCGAATCTTTGAAAATCTTGAGCTACTTTGAAAAAATTTCCATAGATAAGAAGTTACTGTGCAGATGCTGAATGCTGAGAGTTTTTTTCCCCTAATACCATTTTTGCATGCTGGGAGGATGCATTCATGGGTTGTGAATGGAAGTGCCACTTGCCTCAGCATTTTTAAGTACATGAAGCGTCCCTAGAAGGGTCCTTTTCTCATCTCTGGAATGATATCAGAATGTATAATCTTGTTTTCCACTGCAGGATGGGTTTTATTTCTCTTCTTGTAAATTGGGTTTCTGCAGTTGAACATTTTACAGTATAGGGCAGGCCTACACAATGTATGACATAAAAATAATTAGGCCTACTTTTACTATGGGCTCAGGTCATAGTCTATAAATTGCCATCCATCATCTGCTTTAAGTTAACTGCAAACATGCTTGCTCTTAATTGCAACCTGGTGTTGGTGGATCAAGATCTCTTCATCTAGATTTTTTTTTGGCACCAGGATGTAAAGCCTTCAGAAGAAACTGAAATGGGCTGGGAAGGGGTGGTCTTGGAATCTAGAAAAATGGGCTGCACTCAGTGATGGCTTTCAAAAACATCAGGCTACCAATCTTTTGTACATACTTAGTCAGTGGTCTTAAACAATTTTGGGGTTTTTTTCTTCCTTTTTGACAGCCTTCATGTCTGAAACAGCAGTTTGTGAACACTGCTGAGAAGGAAAACTTAGTGACTTTCTGTGCAAAAGCACACACTAAATCCTCTTTAACTTCCCCAACACACAAATGACCTTTTCCAAATACCATCAGATACTATTTGTGGTGGGTTTTCGCATGGCGCAAAACTTGATCAGACCCTGACTTTTAATTAAGACACAAAGCACTTCAGAGGTGGAGCTATTGTGCTCAGAACTATTATACCGTAGAATTTTTGTAGACAGCTCTTCTCTGCATTGCTGTCTGCTCCTTTCAGCTCTGAGAGTAGAAACTATAATGGCTACATACAGCTTCAGTAAGTGTTTGGACCCAGTTCTTTTTTGAATATGAACTTCTGAAGCTGGTTTTTAGTAGATGGAGGTACTTTCCAATTCCAAAGAGGAGAATATGCTTCTGAGTTTCTTAAACTTTGATTTTTACCTAACATCCCATTTTGAAATGGAGGTTGTGTATTTAGGTAGCTTGACAGCAGTTGTAAGGTGTGAACCTAAAGGTTCGATTCTTGCTGCTTGAAAATTCCCTTTGGCAACTGAACACTCACGGGAT